AAAGGCAGGGGGCAGAGATGAATATCTGTGGCAGAGGAGAGGAGAGCAGTGGAAATCTATGGGCCGGTCCTTGGGACAGAAGAGCCACCGCTGCTAGCGAAGCCCCACCCTAGCTCTGGGGATCAAAGGCAGGGGGTGGAGATGAATAGATGTGGCAGAGGAGAGGAGAGCAGTGGAAATCTATGGGCCGGTCCTTGGGACAGAAGAGCCACCGCTGCTAGCGAAGCCCCACCCTAGCTCTGGGGATAAAAGGCAGGGGGTGGAGATGAATAGATGTGACAGAGGAGAGGAGAGCAGTGGAAATCTATGGGCCAGTCCTTGGGACAGAAGAGCCACCGCTGCTAGCGAAGCCCCACCCTAGCTCTGGGGATAAAAGGCAGGGGGAGGAGATGAATAGATGTGGCAGGCAACTATTCATCTTCCGGCCAGGCAGGCTTATTAGCCTGCGAGATAAACTTTTTACCGGGGCTGCTGGCACTCCTAATAAAGGAATATTTTGAGTTCACGTCAGAAGGTTTGTCGTATTTGGGGAGCTGGGTCAGAACACGGCTGCAAGAAAACCAACCAAGCTCAGAGAGCCCCAAGGAGCCCCAGATGGCGTTTAACCCAGAGGTGAAATCCTCCCGGTTCGGCTGAACCAGCAGGGACGATTGGCATCAGTTCTCCAAAAATTGCTGCTGGCCGCGCCCCCTGGTCACCCTATTGTCGCTCACCTCTTCTGCCCGCTTGCTCGGTCCTTCCGGCCTCTCGGCCCACCCACCCAACCCGAAGGTTTCTCCCTCCATTAACAGCAGACCTGCTGCGGCCTGTCCCTTTAAGGTAGACCCAGGGAGGGAGGGAGGGGGCTGGGGGGAACCATACAAGGAGCAGAAGCTCTGCTGTGAATGGAGGGGGAAATGTTTGGATTGTCTCTGCTGCATTTAACGTTGAATTCTGTGGCAGAAACAATCCAAACGTTTTCCCCTCCATTCACAGCAGAGCTGCTGCTCCTTGTATGGTTCCCCCCAGCCCCCTCCCTCCCTCCCTGGGTCTACCTTAAAGGGACAGGCCGCAGCAGGTCTGCTGTTAATGGAGGGGAAAATGTTTGGATTGTCTCTGCTGCATTTAACATTGAATTCTGTGGCGGACACAATCCAAACGTTTTCCCCTCCATTCACAGCAGAGCTGCTGCGGCCTGTCCCTTTAAGGTACTTTGACCCCCGGGAGGGAAGGGTCAACCATAAAGGGAGCAGCAACTCCGCTGTGAATGGACTCATACACATATTTTTTCCCTACCGGGTTCTGTGGGCGTGGCTTGGTGGCGACGGGGGCATGTGACTGAGTGGGCTTGGCCACGAGTGACACCGAGTTGGCCACGCCCATTCAGTCACAAGACCCCCACCACCAAGCCACGCCCACAGAACCGGTAGTAAAACATTTTTGAATGGTTTAGTCTGACCGTTGATGCTTCAGAGATTTTGCAAACACACCAGAGATAGACCTCGATTTTTTAAGTCTTACAAAAACAATTAGCGATGAACGGAGTTTCAGAGTCCAGATCTCAGTTTGACGCCGAGGCAGGGGAGCGGTGGGGAGAAGGAGCAACCCCATTGGATAAACGCTTCTTGAAAACAGCCGCTTTCTGATTTTGAGATTCGGGATCCACGGCATCTGTGGGTTTTAGTGAGCTGCTGAGTTGGATGGACATCAAGAAGTTCTGAAGAAGGTTGGTTGATTGGTTGGCTAGTCTGAGTTGAAGTTGTCCTGTCCTCACCACCAGGAAACGTGGTGGTTTATGGGAAACCCGTCGGAAAGAGACTCAAGGGCTGGGTCTCGGCAGGAAGAGGCGACCGGTAACCATCAAAGGTTCGTGGGATGCTCTCATTGGCAGACTCTGAGCTGTTACTCAAGGTTTCAATGCTTCCTTCTCGTTGGAGCTCTGCAAGAGAAGGAGAAGACACGGTTCTGGTTATCGCCGAAGACCGAAAAGAAAAGAGGAACAATGTTGGAAGCAGAGGTGGTATTCAGCAGGTTCTGACCAGCTCTGGAGAACCGGTAGCGGAAATTTTGAGTAGTTCGGAGAACCGGTAAATACCACCTCTGGCTGGCCCCGCCCCCATCTATTCACCGCCTCCCGTGTCCCGGGAGGCAATGTGGATTTTGCAGTATCCTTCCCCTCGAGTGGGGAGGAAATGGAGATTTTACAGTATCCTTTCCCTGCCACGCCCACCAAGCCACACCCACCAAGCCACGCCCACCAAGCCACACCCACAGAATTGGTAGTAAAATGTTTGAATCCCACCACTGGTTGGAAGGCTGTGGGGGGTCCCTTGAGTTGGGATGATATGGGGTGCAGGGACAGACACAGATAGTCCTTGACTTACAACCGTTCATTTAGCGACTGCTCAAAGTTACAATGGCAATGAAAAGAAGTGACTTGCGACCATTTTTCACAGTTACAGCCTTGGTAGCATTGCCATGTTCACTTGATCAAAATTCAGCGGAAGTGACTTCCGGTTTTGGCCATAGGGCCGTTTTTGCCCTCCGGAGCCTTCAGGGAAGCCTCCTGAAGGCTCCGGAGGGCGAAAAACAGCCCTACGTGCTAACTGGAAGTCCATTCCTGAACTTCGGGTTTGCCCATAGGGCTGGTTTTTCGCATTCCGGAGGCTTCAGGAGGCTTCCCTGAAGGCTCCGGAGGGTGAAAAACGGCCTCAAAATAGCAATAGCAATAGCAGTTAGACTTATCTACCGCTTCATAGGGCTTTCAGCCCTCTCTAAGCGGTTTACAGAGTCAGCATATCGCACCCACAGTCTGGGTCCTCATTTCACCCACCTCGGAAGGATGGAAGGCTGAGTCAACCTTGAGCCGGTCAGATTTGAACCGCTGAACTGCAGATAGCAGTCAGCTGAAGTGACCTGCAGTACTGCACTCTACCCACTGCGCCACCTCGGCTCTAAAAAGGCCAAAGTCAGCTGGCCAGCACACGCATGCGCGCTTGAGCTGACAGGTCAACGCCTCGCGTGCCCTGACAAATGGCTCCGTGTGCCACCTGTGGCACGTGTGCCAAGGGTTCGCCATCACGGGACTAGACATACCCAATTCCAGCAACAGTTAAGGTTTTCCTGACACTCCTTTTGCGAACTTCTGATGGGCGAAGTCAACGGGGAAGCCAGATTCGTTTAGCAACTGCCCGACTAACTTAATGACGGCAGTGATGCGCTTGACAACGGTGGGAAGAAAGGTTGTGAAATGGGACAAAATTCACTTAGCAACTCTGTGTCACTTAGTGATAGAAGTTTTGAGCTTCATTGTGTTTGTTAAGTTCCATCAGCAATGCCTTCCCACCCACCACCGACCCCCGTTCAACAGCAGGTTTGCGTGCGTGTCTCTCACCTTTGTCTGACCCGTTTTCCTTCTTCAGACGTCAATATACATATTTTCCCCCTCTATGAGTATCTTTAGAAGTGGATCAATGCACCAAGAGACCCCACTGAGGCATGCGAGC